GGGCAAAAAAACATGTAGTTGTGTATGAGAAATTCACACATCTGAACTTTTCATGGGGGGGTCTCTTTACTCTCTGGTTTGAGACAGTCTTGAGGACTGTCTAAAAAGTTGTACTGAGCTAGTGTTCCATTGCATGCGTCAGTGCGAGCGGGTTTGTCTACTCCCTCCACGGCCCGGCCCCTGTAAGGATAGGTAAACTCGCCCAAAGAAAACATCCGGGTACAACCAGGTATAAATTAGCACCTTTTTCAAAGGTGATGACGAATGCATTAAAAATCCGACACAGATTAAAGCAGGCACATTTTGGTGTCTTTTACAAAGGTTTTTACATCACAAACCCATTAACACCCCTAAGGAAGGTGGTACCTTTGGTATGGCCTGAAATGTGTATTGGCCACGGCGCTGTGACCCCTCCCAGTTAACCTTGATCGCGCTGGAGCCGTGCTTAGAGCAAATGCCGTGGGGACGGTGACGACAGTGGCGGTTCGGCCCGGGCCGGCGGCACGCGCCGTAGAGTGGGCCTCTTCAGTTTGTCGCGAACCTGTGAGCGGTCAACAACACAAACAAAAGATGTCCTCGTCCCGCGGGGGCCTCCTGGTCGTCACCGGGCTGCTGGGGCTCGTCGCCGTTGAGGCTTTTCCCGGCAGGTGAGCACCGCGTCGACACCGCCACCGTCACCGGCACAGTGACCCTCACCCTCGCCGCCACTCTCACCCTCGCGGTCACCCTCGCCGTCACCGTCACTCTCACCCTCGCCGTCACCGTCACCCTCACCGTCGTCATTATCTTCACCCTCATACTGCTGCCCACAGGGTGTCACGGGCGGCAGACCTGTGGTGTCCGGAGGCCGCGCTGACAGACGGCCAGCTGGAGCCCGTGCTCAAGCGCATCGTCGAGGAGGGCCCCCGCGCGTGGGGCGACACGGGCGTCCCGGAGAACACCCCGCCACCCTGGATGGACAAGAAGCGGATGGCGGCCGGCAGGGCCTTCCTGGAGAGGTACCCGCTCGCCTCGCTATTCGGGCACGTGCACGGCCTCTACCTGCTGTTTGCGGTGCGGTCCGTGTTGGACGTGCTCGTCTTCACCGGCAACTCGGACACACCGGACGAGGCCTTCATCAGGTAGGTGATCAGTGATCATCCAAGAGAAATCATGAGATTCATTCATGGAAACTAAAGTGATGTGGACTACATTGCCTCAGCACGGTGTCCTGGGTGGGTCAGAGCGGACGCCCGTCAGGCGACATGCCCCCTGCGGCCCAGGACGCTATGTCTCCTACGACACAGCAGCGTCCGCTCTGATGCACAGTGTACACATTCAATGCAAGCCATGGAGATGCAAGCGGAGGTCAGCTGCGTCCGCCCGCTCCCTGCCCCCTGCCCGTCGCCAGCGTGAGGATCTGGAGAAAACGCTTTCTCACGCAACCGCGGCTCACGCTATCGGCACTAGAGTTGTTGATAAAAGTATATGTCACTCGCAGGTACATGGACACGTTGAAGGGAGTCGGGTCGTGGTACTCGAGTGACTTCTTCACGCCGGGCACCCCGGGCTACGAGCAGCTCAAGCGCGTCCGGTCGCTGCACTCGCTGGTGCGCAAGGACATGGCGGACCGGCCTCAGGACGAGGTGCGCAACAAGACCCGCATCGCCGGCTCCTTCAAGGGCTGCCCCATGAGCGCCGCCCTGCGCCGCGACCTGGGCCGGCAGGCGAGCACCGCGTGCCCACGGCGCACCGCGAAGCAGGACGCCGACAACGACATCGGCGAGGTGAGCGACTTCGGGTGCGGGCCGTACCGAGTGTAACCGTGAAAACGCATCAGTGTTGCGGGATTGCATACTCGATATGGCCGCAGGGGCCATGGCCCCTTACCTTACGGGTGGAAAAAGTAGGCAAGGCCGCAAACACTGCTACGTATTCACGGTACACCCGGGTACATGACGTAGAGAATTGGAGAGAACCATGGAAACGAGAGGGAGAACGTGACACGGTCAGTTGAAGCGATATTATCGATGTGACGTCGATTGGACTTGGAGATTTCCAGATCAAAATTTACATATACAAGTTTTTTTTTGTGTCAGCAAAAAAATTTGCAGATAAATTTGGCTTTCAAATGTATGTTGATTGCAGACATACTGTACTGTACTGTACCAGTACTGTACCTGTACACCCAAACGCATTAAATGCGGTTACATCAGCACGTGGACTGTGGCATATTATCTTACCGAGCACTCACTCACTCACTCCTGCCGCTACTCGCGCCACGATATGGTAATGGGATTATTTGACTCCCTTGCGGATGAGGTCATGCTGCCAAACAAACAGAGCTATATTCTGGCGACTGCTTCGTGAACCAGCCTAGGCCGGCGCCGGCATGTTTTTTTCGAGCAGGTCGGGTCAAGGGAGGGCCCATATGGAGTAGCTAAGATAATAGCGGCATAGCTTGACAAAAACTACGCGCCATATTGCGTTACCACCTTCGATGTGCTTATTTAAGCGCCTTTAAATGAAAAAAACAACAACTTGTGTTTATCCAGGACACCGGTGTGCCAGGAGCAGTATGGATGAGCCAGTACGACATGTCGGTGACGCAGTGGGCCTTTGTCGGCCCCATCATCCAGTTCCCGGAGCGGTACGGCGTCGGTAACGCCAGCGTGGAGGAGCTGGACGGCTTCGTGCACCTCTGGGAGGTGATCGGCTACACGCTCGGCATCGACGACAGGTAAGTGCACCTCTGGGAGGTGATCGGCTACACGCTCGGCATCGACGACAGGTCAGCGAGAAGAACAATATTAAACAGACATGCAGTGTGCTAAGCATTTTAAGAGGAGGCGGGTTGATGAGAGAAGCATTGTAGACGCTACAAGGAGCCATACAGAAAGTACGCCCGTCACTCACTGTTACGAACCTGCCGAGTTCAGCCTCGGCAAGAGCTCTCATAGCGCCTGATGGGTAGGCAACGTCTTGCCAACAGTGCGCGCGTGTACTGCGGGCTGGCCTATCCCGAGTCTCGCAGGCGCCGAGCTGCCGCGCTCCCGTCATATGATAAATGCCACCCTCGTGGATAAATTTACCATGGCTTTTCGAACACTTCTGCGGTACTTACAACCCCAAGTTCAAAAGGCAGCGCCGTGAAAAGAGTTTGTCACTCTCTGCGCAGATTCAACTTCTGCCAGGGCGGGCTGGAGCCCACCGTA